CGCACTCCCCAGGTGAGTGGGTAATAGCGGAACCTCTTGTAATTGCCCGGCACTAACATCGCACCCTTGTCATCTCGTGTATTTCACCACGATGTCGAGTTCCAGTGGTTCCCCACACGCGATCGACCCAAATGAGTCTCCCCGCAGGTCCCCGAACGGCTCTGGTGAATCTCTGCGTGACCCTAGCTCCGACGGCTCCGTCCATTCCTCCGTCCTCCGCTGTCAACATTCCAGCCGTCGGCGACCCTGTTCCATCTGTGGACGCGCTGGTGGCGGACGCCTCGGCGTTGGAGCACGAGGCTCAAGTGTTACGTTCCCGCCTCTAGTTATCGACCACGCTGAACGCTGGTCCACGCGTCCGTGCTCCACGAGCAACTCAACGCGCTGCGAGATCGCGCGCGCGAAGGCTACAACTTGGGTCTCCAAGCCGTGGACCGCCTCAGCAGCGAATTCGAGACGCGCGATCACATTATCCGGGAGTTATGCGACGACAATCAAGGTCTCCGGGATCAAGCCTTTCAACCGAACACGTGGCGGACGCAGTACAACAACCTGTGCAAGACCACGGCCGACGAGGCAACGTCGTACCAGAACGCGCTAGCACGAGCCAACGCTCGGATCTCCAGTCTGAACTCGCAGCTAGCCGTGGCGTCGGTGCCCGCTCTGCCTCTCGCGTCCCCTTCGGTGTCTACGACTGCGCCCCAAACTAGCGTCACGGGTGATGCGTTATCGCGCGTTCGTGGCGACCTTTCTTCCGCGCAGGCTTCCGTTCAGTCTGAACAGAGTCGAGTCTGTTCCGTCACCTCCGAGTGAGACTTTGCGCGCGCAGAGAGTGAGCGCCGGCGCGTTCAATGTGATGTCACAGCTGCGGAGCTGAATGACGCTCGGGACTCGTTGGATCGCAGCCGCCGTGAGCTGGATGTCGCGCGTGCAGCCAACCAGCCGCTCCAGGACGACCTCCGGTGCGTGAACGCGTTATTAGTGGCCCACGCTGAAGAGCACCAGCGAGACGTTGCGCGACCTGAAGACATCGTCCTCGGCCGCCGAAGCAGCCCGTGTCTCGTCCCAGGCCGATAGAGACTTCGCCCAGGCCAGCGTCCTTCCGATCGCGTCCCGAGCTGCCATCTTTCGGTCCGCGTTGATATATGCTCGTCGTTCGGCTACTCAGCGGCGGGTGCAGACACAGGTGCGCGTGCGTCGCCTGACTGCCGCGCGGTCAGGCTTGAGAACGCCCTCGCGTTGAGTCAGCAGGCCTCGCAGGCCGAAGTTGCTCGGCTGGAAGGTCTAATTGACCAGGCTGATCTCGCTTACACTGAGCGCACTATGACTTGGCGCCGTCTGTTGCGGGATGCTCGCGCTGGTCGAGCGTCTGCAAGCCTGGGTCGCGACGCGCTCGTGACTCGGTTGAGCGACATGTTGACTGCGGTTGGCGGCTCTCTGGACGTCACTCAGCTTGTGTGTAGCTGGAAAGCTGTTTCGAGGCTTTGACCTACGCGGCCACGCCTCTTCCGCCCGACTTCGACCCAGAGATAGGACGTGCAGCGGCCACGCTCTCTGGACTCCCCGCGTCGACCGCCTCTCGTTCAAATACAGCGTCAACTGCGGTCTCCAGCTCTTCTGCAGCCTCTACCGTGGACGCGTCGACATCTACGGCGGTGCCAGCATCATCTTCAGCGCAGGACGATCCTGCGGCCTCTACCACGGGTGCGTCGGCATCTACGACCCCCACATCTCCGGCTGTGCCCGTGTCGGGTTCGGCGCAGGGTGATCCTGCGGCTTCTACTGCGGACGCACCGGCATCAACGGCGCCCGCGTCTCCAGCGGTACCCGCGACGTCGCCCCCACCTACCGCGTCGCCTGGGTCGTCATCGGTTCCATCTCGCGCCACTGGTCCGGGGTGGCCTACGCTTTCCAGTCGAGGTGGTCGTGGGGCTCAACGCCTACGTCGCAGCCGTCGTTCGTTGACGATTGCAGACACCACTGTGTCGGACAGTGCAGCTGCTCACTCGGGTGACCACTCTTCTCCTACGGCTGATTCCAGACTCGGGCCACGCTCCCGCACGGCGTCTCCGGCGTCCTCCGGCGCAGATTCAGATGCGCGTCCCCCTGCGAGTCAACGGCGTCGACTCACGCCCCCGTCGTCGGATCCCACTTCGGACTCGACCGAGGGTTCGGCACATTCACGTGCTTCTGGTGGTGGGCCCGTGACGTCGGGCGGTGGTCGTTTGTTCTCCAGCGACTCTGACAGCGACGATGGCACCCATAACGGAGGCCAGCGGGCTCTCCACCGGCAGGTGGTGTTGCGCCTGCTGTGCGGCCATTCTTCACACCAGTTATTCCTCCCTTCCAGCACCATGCGGAGTGGACGCGGAGCCGTTATACTCCCTGACCTCGTGCTCTGAGGGATCTCACTCTTTCGTCTCTCACTGCACGGGCCTTGCGTGTCGAGCACCTGCCTCCTCGTGCCTGGATTTTCTCGGCCACATCGTCTCCCGTCCCGGCCTTCTGGGACCCTACGCTGCTGACGAAGCGAATGGTGGAGGGCTTTTACGCGACACGTCCGTGGGACTACCTCACTCGACGTGCTCAGCCGCTAACTTTCGACGCCCAAGACCCTCATTTTCAGCCTTCCATCGCGCGCTACGAGGTGTACCTGGATCACTGGGCCCAGGCGTACTGGGAGTCGACGCCTGAGATCCCGGTGCCGAACACGCCCGCGTGGACGCGGTGGTGGTGGCGCCGTCGTCGAAACTCGCGTCGGTCCCACGCCGGTGACCACTTAGTGGGTACGTTCCAGCTGCTCCTGATACTCTTCTAGGCAGGGCGCGTGGACATGGACGTGCTGTTGGACGTTATGGTGCTCCTGTTTCCTCCGGGTCGTTCCAGTGTCGGACGTTGGTACCCTGACTTGTGGAACTCGACCCTGGAGGCCGCGTTGGCCGACATCGACGCGCGCGAGCCGTGGCGTCGCTTCTTCCGTACGCGGCCGGCAACACTACCGTTGAACGCGAGCACCCGGCTTACACCGTTCGCCGTCTTGTGTCCAAGTTCGTGGAGGGTGGACAGTCGCATCCTTAGGAGTAGCAGTAGGTATCCATCTTGACGTAGGCCTTTTTGCTATTCTCGAATCCAATCTTTCCATTCTTTCTCGTTTCTTGTTATAGAGCGGCCCTCCGTCGCCCTATCTTCGGCTAATGAGCCGGACCACCAGACTTCCCACAACTCATCTTCCCAGGTGCTGATCAACTCAGCAACTTGTTCCTCCACTTCCTCCCGTCGACGGCCACCCCGTCGACTTGAGCACCCACCGGCGTTCAGCTCTCGGTAGACGCGTCCTCGTGGGACTGCATCACCTCGAATCGGCTTCGACCTGTGCGTTTCCTCAGGAAGTCATACAAGAGTCCTCCGCAGTTCAAGCCCAGCTCATCTACCCAGCTCGTCTCTCGGTATCCTCGCCACTTCACATGGAACTCGCGCCGCGTTCGTCCATAGCGCGTTGTGGGACCTTCGCGTACATCTAGGGTTTGTTCGACCTCGTATACATCGTCGTCCGCATCGTGCGTCTCCCAGCTCTCCTCCGGGAGGAGCTCTTCGTCGAAGTCGAACCGCTCCTCCGCCGGCACCGTCAGTCGCAACTCGGGTCGCGACGGGAATTCACGGACGGGCTTCAACTTCGAGACGTGCACGATTGGGAACAATTAGTATGGGGTTCCGTTGGTCTCCAGACGTACGGCGTACGCGCTCATCAATTCGGCGACGCGGAACGGGCCGTACCACAGGTGTGCAAGTTTGCGCGCGTAACGGGGGTTGACCCGATCAAGATACAGCCAGACTTGGGATCCACGTTGTATTGCGTGTTCCGTCGCGCGCGCGTTCTGCCGTGTGGCCCGCGTGTTCACTGCTTCGCGGATCAACTCGAGTGCTTGTGCGCGTGCGGTTTTGTAGTGACGCTGTATACGCGTTCTCCATCGCCGAGCTTCCACGTCTCGATGTGAGGTGTTTCCAATCGCTAGCGTCGTTTCCAGGGTGGACCGTGGGTCCCAACCATGTACCAGGAAGAACGGTGTTTCGTCCCGGGTTCGATCGTGGGCGGTATTCAGGGCGTAGGTGAGTCGTTCTGCGTACTCGTCCCAGTCGCGCTGATCGTTGTCTGCGATGTACATTTTGATGGCCCTCGTGATCGTCTGCACCATGCGCTCCGCCGCCCCGTTTGCTTGTGGGCGATACGCGAGAGTTGCTCGTTGCCTTTGACCCATGAGTTTGTTGAAGGCCCTGAAGAAATCGGACATAAAGCCCGGCTCTCGGTCGTGGCGAATGGCTTCACTAGCCCCGAACCTTCTGAAAACCGCCTCCTCGTACGACTCAGCAACCGTCTGCGCAGTCTGCGACGCACTTGCCTTTGCGATGACGAAACCCGTAAACAGGTCGACCTAGATTAGCAGCTCCGTGTTTCCTTTGTGTGACGCGGGCAGTGACGGTATGTGGTCTATCGCGACCACTTGGAACGGATACGTCGCTACGATATTCCCAGGAGATCCGCCTTGGATTGTCGGTCTGCCTTTGCCAGTCTCGCAGTCGACGCACTCTCCGACATGACGCTGTACGCTTTTGAATAGTCCCGGCCAGTGGAAATGCCGTCGTACGCGTTGGTACGTTCGGCCTATACCTTGGTGCCCGCCTTCTAGACTCGCGTGGTAGTGGTGTAGCACGTCTTGTCGGAGGGTCTCTGGCAGGACCAACTTCATGGTCCAGTCCCGGTCTTCTGCCGATTCGTTTCCCCGTACATGGTAGTACAACAAGCCACTCTCCCCCACCTCGTATTGTTCTGCGATCTTCACACAGCTCTTCACCTCCTGTTTAGAAAGCTCGCTGATATCTCCGCTTAGGAACTTCTTGAGATATCCAGAGCTCTTCGTCCTGCGCCGCACGGACCCGATCTAGTCTCAGCCGATGCACCTGTAGTTCCTTCAAGGGCTCCGCGCGGTTTGGTGGGACGCGTCGCGCGACCGGGTGGTCACGGGATAGACTCTCCCTGTCCCGCGTCTCTCGTTGTCGGGACCGCGCGTTTCACGCTCTGAAACGGGTAGCGTGGGTTGCAGCACTTCTCCCAACCGATTTAGCGTCTTCAGATCCTCGATCCCCTCGACGTTATGGACGTCTTTGTCGCCTTGTCGTTGGAGTGTCTGTCCGGCCAACTTATCTGCACTCACGTTTCAGTCTCGTCGGACATGTAGAAACTCATGCCCGGGCTGTTCGCGCAGCGCGTTCCAAGCCTGTTGTCTCAACAGCTTCAATCCGGGATACTTACAGTCCATCTCTCCCCGCATTTGGCGAACCACCAGGTTGGAATCACCGCACATGATTAAGCGTGTGACATCCAAGTCTTCTGGGAGCGAGAGCCCGAGTAGTATGCCCCGGTATTCGGCTTCGTTTACTGTGAGACCTTCCGCGTATCCAGACGCGGCTTTTAGCCAGACTACGGCGCTGAATGCACCACCTTCGCGTTTGACGCGGGCTGATCCGTCGAAGCTGATCACGTGGAGGCTCTCGGTCGGCCCGAGTTTCGGGACCGGGATCACAGCCATCTTAGACGGGCGTTTTCGAGGCGCGATATCTTCCAATGCAGAATCTACATGGGCCAACATGGGCCATCGGCGTGATGCTTGCAGCCAACGCTCCCAGAATCTCTTCCTCCCCTTTCGCTGACCGGAGGATTTCCAATCGCCAGGGGAGAGGATGGCGGCCCATTTGAGACAGACGACCTTGCAGCCCTTTAAACTGGAATAGCCAACCCAGGCTTGTATGTCGGGTCAACACGCGTATCGTCTTTCCCAACAGCATGTTGTGGCATTCGTTCAAGACGCGCAACAACGCTAGGATCTCCTTCTCGGTGATGTTGTAGTTCAGCTCGTTGGGCTTCAACATCCGGCTAGTGAACTTGACGGGAATGTACACTCCGTCATGCTCTTGAGTGATGACGGCCGACACGGCCCAATCACTCGCGTACACAATCACCACTGGTTGTCTATCCGCGTCGAAGTGCTTTAGCATCGGGGTAGCCGTGATCTTGCTGCGAAGTGTCGTGAACGCGCGTTCAGCGTGGTCCCACTTTTCCACGTCATGCGTTTCTGGGTTGTGGAGCGTTCCTCGCAGTTGCGGGCTGAGAAAGAGTAAAGCGCGGTGGCAAAGACCGCGAAGTCGGGAATAAAGCGGTGGTAGTAATTTAGACTACTCAAGAACGACTGCAACCCTTTTTGCGTGCGCGGAAAATCCAGCGCCGCTAGTGCTTCCAAGTTCTTTGGCTTTGCCTCGAGTCCGTTTTCCGAAACCTCGTGCCCCAAGTAATCCACTCTTGGCATTCCCCATTCGCTTTTCTCGACACTGATTGACAGGTGCCACTCCTCGCAAACCTCGAGGAGACGTTCCACCTTCTTGGACAAGTCATCCCAAGACTTTCCCCCGATCAGAATATCGTCAATATAGGACCGTCGACCACGCACGAACCGTGTTCCAGGCTTGGACAGGACCCTGTCCTGGAAAACGTCGCGGGTATCTTCCGTCGGCGAGAGTTTCCAGAAGCCGTACAGCGCGTTGTCTATCAACCGCTGGTATATCTGTGACGCGTTGCATAAACCGAATGGCATACGCAGCCACTCAAACAGCCCGAATGGTGTGATGAACGCGGAGATGAGACGGGATCGGTCCGTCATCGGGATTACCCAAAATCCGCTAGCCAAGTCTAAGGAGCAGTACCATCGGTACTTATCCAAGTCTTCCAAGAGGTCCGTGACCAGTGGTATCGGGTACACCATCAACTGGGTCAGACCGTTGACCAACCTGTAGTCGACGCCGTTCTTCTTCACGATGACGACGATGGGGGAAGCCCAAGGTGACTTCGACGCGCGGATCATGCGTGCGCTGAGGAGTCCTCGGATCAGATCGGCTAGTTCCTCGCGAAACTGCGACGAGATCTTCCGGACGCGTTGTGCGACGGGCC